TATTCTGGTCCTTCATGCATATGCAGCCACCTGAAGAGGCTGCCCTGGGACCAAGTTACTCCCAAAATAGAAAAGCCCTTATACAAACCTTCTAACCACTTTTTCTGTCATTAAGGTACAGGGAATACATAGTAGAAGTGACCTCTCCAGGCTAAAACCCAAGAAGCCTAAGATACCAGAAAACAACAAACCTCATATACTTGCAAACCAGTAGACAATCTCAAGTTTTTTCTCAAAATACTACACCAAGATGTTAAACCAGTAAGTAAACGTTTTGTTCCCTCTAAGTAAATTCTGTAGCCAGTCTTAATACTCTCTTGCTTGACACACTTGAACTCCTTGTTCCAAGTTATAACACAACATTTTTCAGGCCTTTCCTGTTTTTCTTGGGATCACTGTGGATTATTCAAAAACTGCCTCTAACAGAGATAATAACAGTGATTACCTACATGAGGCCTTAACGTTAAGTTACATTTTTCTCCTATCATCAAAAGCTACCTAAGAACTTGACAGAGCTGGGGAGACAGCTCAGTAGTCTAAGGCCCTGCTTGACAAGTGCAAAGACCCAGGTTCGATCCCCAGTACCTCATGCTATGCCAGCCCCAGAACCCCAGGCATGCCAGCCACCAAAACCAGGAGTGGTGGTGCATGCCTATAATCCCAGTGCTGGGGAGGCTGAGACAGGAGGATCACTACAGGTCTGCGCTGCATAGCAAGACCTTGTATCAAATAAATAAATAAATACGTAAAACTTGACAGACAGCATAGATGAACTTGTCCAGGTATTGCCCTCCTTTAAGACTAACAGCAATGGCCATACAACACCAGAGGGGACTAGATCTCCTAACAGCTGAAACAAAGGGGCTATGTTAATGTCCCTAAAAATGGACTTCCTTGTCAATAGATCTAAAAATCTAAGTGATACAACACACAAAAAAAAATTACTTCCAAAATGCATAAAAAAAATCTGAGTTATGGATATCCTGCCAAATATGTGTAATTTGGGGGTCTTGGTTACTGTCCTGAACACAGCCTTATTAATGCTTCTCATAGCCTATTTCTATCTTACATACTTAATCTCTTAATCAAATTTGTTTCCTCTTGTTTGACAGTCATCAAACTACTGATGGTGACCATAACTCAAGATCAGAACTCACCTCTACAGCCACAGTTCAAGAAATCTTTGGGGGGACTCACAGCTCTGTCAGGGCAAAGGTTTCTTGGTCTCCAAGTAGGTAGGGGGATTCCCTGTTGGGCTTCCCAGCCTGGCCCAGAGCCCAGGGATCCCAGTGACCTCTGCCTCAGCTACCTTTCAGCTGACTAAAGTGTCAACATGAGCTGCTCATCTGTCTGTCACCTGCTGCGCTCTGTAGTGTGGATTTTAGATGTAAAAGAAAGCCACCCCCAAAACCAAATATGGGCATCCTATACAATTCTCTAACATTAACAGTAACTGCAGAAGAAAAGCAATCTCTGGGGTTCCCAAAGACTGTCATTCGGAGCAGCTATGTCAACCTGGAGGAACTCTCTGAAGAAGGGAAGAAAATGGACTGGGGAATCACAGTGTCCCAGCCTCCTTTTGAGAAGTTCTTTCATATCCACTCTGCTCTGGGACAGGTGTTAAGTGAGGAGAAGTCACCAGGTCAAGAGGAACTAACAGGTCAGGAGGCAAGAAACCAGATGGAAGGCCGTAGAAGTGTTTTCCTTGGAGAAGAAAGACTGGGGGAAATCATAAATCTTGTCTCTTAAAGAGAGAAAGAGGGATTACTTGCTCTGTTACAATCGCCACCTCAATCCCTAGCCATGCGGTTACCACATCTCTCTGAAACTACCTGCTTATAAGCCCTCCCTCCCCAAAACCACAGCTCCCTGAAGAAGGATGTGTATGAATCACTTCCGATGCCCCAGCAACTAAGCCAGGCCACAACATTAACAACTACTGACTTGAAAGCAGAAATGACCAGGAAGGCCTATTGTGGTTCAAGAAAGGGAAGTGCTTTCCAACAATCCCAGTTGCTTCCAACAGGCCAGGTTGTTCAGGAGGAAGCATGTGTGCTAGCATGGAATGCCCTCATGCTAGGAGGGATGCTGAGCAAAAGGACATCTGAGATATCCTCCAGTTCTATGCCCCAGTCTCCCAAAGTATCAAGGGGAGGAGGCCCAGAGGAGGAAAAGCACCACAAGGTACCCCCTCTGTGCCAGGCACACACATCCAGTCACTACCCTGCCAATCCTTAGGAGCCTGGGAGGTAAGCTTCATTAGTACACCCATTTTACAGTGGAGGAACCTGAGGCTCAAGGGTGATTTAATAAGTTGCCAATAACATGGAGCCAGTAAAAGAACAGAGGGGCCAGGGAGATAGCTCAGTAGCATAAGTGCTTGCCTGGCAAGGGCAAGGGACTGAGTTCAATCCCTAGTTCCAC